TTGAATCCAAAAAAAAAAATAAATAAATAAATAAATACCTTAAAAAAAAAAATAAATATTTTTGGTTCGAAGTAAACTAGGCTTTACTTTCAATTATTCCAACATATGCCAAAATATAACAATACCTACTTGAATAAAAAAAACTTCATTCACATCACATACAATATTCCAACGCAGCATGTATTCTGCAGAGCCAGGAATCAAATTACATGCAAACAGAAATAGAATTCACTAGCTGGGCTAGCTGGACTAGCTGTCCAGTTTCAATTACCATTTACAGCAATCAGCCGAGTCATAAACCAGGTCCACTACTAAGCAGCAGCTACTAAGGCGAAACTCTCATTTACATGTTTGTTCTCTTTGCCAACTGCATACCAGCGGCGAGGCCATGCGTGAGACTCATCCGGAGGCATGAAGAGTTCAAAGATTCTGCCTGGCCTGGCATAATGCTGCAGCCCATTCAGTTGCAATTTCTATTTGTAGCAACGGCAAATTGGCACTTCGATCAGTTCTATACGAACTGCTGTTGCAGTTGCCCGAGCTTTCTTCCCATGAGAGTGCGAAAAACTCAATTTACAGCGACGTTCCAGCTAGTTTGCCATGCGGAAGAGAACTTTTCCAGCCAGAAAATAATACACCAGCTCGATTCGATTAACGACTCTGCCGCCAGGAGGCGTGGGTGGGTTGCTGGCCTGGCGTGTGTTGACCAATAATGGGTGAGCCATTATAATAAATATTGCTAGGCCATTAGGAAATTGTGCAGGGGTATACGACAGAGAGCAGGAGAGAGACCAAGAAACACCTAATTCGACTATCATCAACCACAAATTGTTGTTGCCATCATCGAAGAATTTGCATTAATAAAATCAACTTGAGATCTAATTTCATGTAACTTTTCAAATTTGTGGTTGAAAAACATTTTCGAGTTACTTTCAACTAGGCTCGAAAACTAAAGAAACTTTTCATTAGAATTGGTTAATAGACTTTGCTTCAATGTAATACACTGAGAAATACAGCTTATTTTTGTAAGCTTTTTCTTTAGCTGCGGCAGTTTAATTTAAACGTTCTGGTTCTGGTTCGTCGCCCAACGCCATTATGTGCCTATGACAGCGCGGTAAATTAATGGCCATAAAGTGAATTGACTAAAATTAACTCATTAACGAGAGTGCCATCATCATAAAGTTGGCAAAACGTACTAAACGAGCTCATTTCAAGTCTATTTAAAGAGCTCTAAATATACATACATATATATGTATAATATATATACATATATAGAGACTATATATCAAGTCCAACTAGAGTGGAATACTACGTAGAATT